AAGACAAGGCAATGTTCCAGTCTCTGAGAATATTTTCCCTAAAGAACCACTTTTTAAAATACCACTGAACAGTCTGAAAATCCACCCACGCATGAGCAATCTCCTGCAATATACAGAAAGCTTTTCAGGTGTCATGGCCATAATAGCAGGTGGTTTCTCTGGGTAGAAAAATTGTGGGAAGGATACAAGGACAGAAAGCAAACTGTTTCAATATTCTGGGTACAACTTTTCCCAAGTGAATCATTCCCATATGCCTACTTTTGCCACAGGCCCCTTTCCAGAGGAAGTAATTTGTGTGAACAGAGGTGTAGAGATGGATTCTGGTGGGCAAACTTCAGTGGTGCCCATATTTGGCAGAGCTATTTAATTGTTAGAGGGCTGGGGATGTAGCTCAGTGGTGCTGCCGCCTGCCTTGCGAGTGCAAGGTTCCAAGTTTGATCCCCAGTACCAAAAACAAACAAACAAAGAAACAAAAAATTGTTAGACCTCTCTTCCACAAGTCTCAACATGCAAAATCTGAATATGCATTCGATACCTGCTTTTGCTTCCTCAAAATAAATATATAATCTTGTTATGAAGATTTAGCAGTACTCATTTAAGGCAAGGCTGCTTCTGAAATTCCAATAAAATAGATTTTAAATACAAGCTTATAAGAAAAACTGAGACTAGAGAACTTTGCAAAACGTGGTCAGGTAAGAAAGACCCCCAAATAAAATGAGAAAACCCAGATTCAGGTTCAGATTCTTTTAACTCTCTGTGTATTGGGACTAAGACTTTCTGTTTTAATTTGTAAAATGGGAATGATAGCTCCCAAGGTTATTTTGAGGATTAAAGGGTATGTGAAAGCTTAAATAATATAGGATAAACAAAAAAAACATGATATTGTTACTCTTCTCTCAGTGACTTTGTCCACTGGGTGACAATAAGAGAGTGTTGGAAGAAAGAACCTTAAACTAAAGATTTAAGTACTAAAAATATTCAACCCCAGAGGTACCACAGACATAGACTAATTTTTTCCATCTGTGCAGTTTAGGGTAGATTTGGCACACACTCAATACCAGGCAAGAAAGAAACTATGGTTTAGGCTGCTTTTAAAGTTAAAAAAAAAAAAAAGACAGAAAAGGAAACGATTCCTTTTACAAGCATGAATGTTAAAATAGAGCCTTTATTGAGTAATTTACTGAAGCAAGACTCTGACCCTCCCTCCCCTTGTTCCACCACTCCCTATTTGTGTTCTGATTAGGTGGTTGTTTTCTATATCACGGTTTATATAGTATGATTGCTTCCTCCTCCCCAAAGGAAAGCAAACATAGATTCTCTAAACCAGCCACATGTGACTCAGAGGTTAAAAGAGCAGTTCTTTAGAGGATGATCTCCCTCAATTACTAATATTTAAGGACCTGGTTTTCAGAGCCAGGGGTTATTCAGAATATTATGGCTTTCAGATTAAGCCCCACATAAGATGCCTCAACAGAGTCAGAGTTTGTGGTTGAGAAACTGGCTTGAGAAAAAAGATAAAGTAGCAGGAAAAGCCACGGAGGGTAGGCTGATGACTCATGGTCCCTTCCTTGAACTTCAGGAATGACAAGATGGAAAGAAAAAAAAGGCAGTGTCCCGCTGCAGACCAGAGGCTGCATGAAAGGCAAGAAATTCCAGCAACCTACAGAATTCCATGGGTTCTTGAGCAGGGCAAGGTCACATATGCCTGTAATACCAGCACTGAGGGAGGCTAAGGCAGCAACGAGTTCAAATCTCTCCCAGGAAACTTAGTGAGACCCTGTCTCAAAAGAAAAAATTTTAAAGGCAGGGGGATGTAGCTCAGCAGTAGTGCACCCCGGGGTTCAATTGCCATTACTGCAAAACAATGAACAAAAAAAAGAATGACCTGGATTTTTAGGGTAAAGGCTGCCTGCCTGCCCTTCCGTGGTCAAGATGTTAAGTGCATCAAAGGAGGAACATTGGAAAAACTAAATTGATTGCCCTTTATCAGAGTGATGGTCCTAAGTTGGATCATTTTATGTTCCTGCTTAAAAATTTCACTAACTACATTGCCCCTACATGAAGTCTAAACACACAAAGGCGTAGAATATTCTTCATTGTGACCCGAATGGTCCTTGGTAGTTTCATCTTCTATTTATTTCTTACTATTTCTCTTGGAAGGTTTGAGGGACCACTTCTGATTTCCCAAATAAGCAAGATACTTTTAAACCTCCACTTGTTTGTTTACACAATTCTCTTTGCCCCCAACCGTCATCCCAGCCTGCAAACTCTTGGGGTGCTCTTCTCCTGTCCTTTCTTCTCAGCAGCTTTCTTGACTTCCACTCTCTCCTGCCACTGGGAATGAGTGTTCTTTCATCTCTGGCGTCATGGCCCTTCCAACACGCCTCTGTTAAACCACTGGATGCGATGGATTAGATCTTCCCTCAACTCACTGCACACTCCCCGACCGACCGACCGGTGTGAACAGCTTGTGTGGTTCTTGCCACCCTGTAGGGGGATGCAGGTTGGCTGAACTGAATCAAAGTAAAAGACAACCACAGCATAGATGGGTTTTTCCAGGCCTAAGAATTATGCTAGGCCTAGAAAGTGTATGCTAAATCTACACCCATAGATGATTCTGCTTTTGGGGTTCCCAGAGTGTGTGTAATTTGCTTTTATTAAAGAAGTGTCATGAATATATTTCTCTACATAAATTTGCTATTTAACATTTTCCTGCAGCCCAGTTGGTGAAAGGGGCTGAGTAATTTGAACTACTGTCCAGCTGGATTGGAATCACACCGGGGTTGTTTCAGTCGGGGCACCTTGTCTTGCTTTTCCTCTTCAGAGTCCCTCTGTCAGTCCTGGCCTTTGAAGGGATGAGCTGAATTGGAAACAGGGGATGCCAGTGAGTTTTAACCTTGTGCATTCTCTTTCTCAGCATTTAACTTTTCCTCTTTAAATTGAACAAGTTAACTGAAGAAATGTATAATCCACTTATTTCTCTTATCCATATGCCTACCTTGTTTCAGAAGAATAAAAATTTTTTTTAAAACTTTAATTAGTACATGTTTGCAGTAATGATTATATTCCTCATGGAAAGCTGGTGTGTCAATCAAGGTGGAATCAAGCTGGAAGCTTGATTCTTTTTTTCATTCCCTTCTCCCTTCCCTCCCTGTATCTCTTAGTTCTCTTCACATTTGCAAAAGATCTAGCTACCTATTTCCTATTGTCTGCCTTTTGTTTTGCTTGTTCTATATTGGATTTATGTAAGAAAAATCATGCATTATTTAAGCTTGTGCATCTAATTTATTTCACTTTACATTATGGTCTCAAGGTACATCCATTTTCCTACAAATGACTCAAATTTATCCTTCTTAATGGCAGAGTAGCACTCCACTGGGTATATATGCCACATTTTCTTTATCCATTCATCTGTTTATGGGGATATAGGTCACTTCCAAGATTTAGCTATTGTAGGGCCAGGGATTTAGCTCAGCGGTTTTGCCGCCTGCTGTGTAAGCGCAAGGACCTGAGTTCGATCTCTGGTACCAAAAAAAAAAAAAAAAAAGATTTAGCTATTGTAAATTGTACTGCTATACACGAGTATGCATGTACTACTATAATATGACATTTTTAACTCTTTTGGGAAGATACTTCAGAGAATAGCTGAATTGAATGGAATCCCTATTTTTAGTTTCCAGAACAAAAATTTAAGACAAGTTAAAACAATTAAAAAATGAACTATTCCACACTCATTCCTTTGGTTGTTTGGATGACCTTTTGTCAGTAGTGCTGGTCAGTATGAAGGACTCATGGAAAAGTTTTATGGGCATCAGTTGACACTATTTCCGGAAGTACCCTGCTCTATAGCACATGATGCTGCCAGGCCTGTGGTCACTTTTACCCTTAGACCAAATGAATTGGAGTTTGTTCAATCTTCAAATCTCTCACTCCTGCCTTGCCTTATCAAGGTTATATGCACTGTTGCTGGCTCCTGGCAGGCAGCCTGGCCGGGTCAGATCATGACTGATTTACGCCCGTGGATAAGCACAAAGACGAAGAGTAGGAGTGCTGGAGTCAGCCTGAGTTGCGATCGGTCCACACCTCTGACCAGTTGTGTGACCTCAGACCGGTTATTAAACCTTCTATGCCTCACTTGCTTTATCAGTAAAGAAAGAAATAGTGATGATGCCGCCCCCCCGGATCTGACGTGTAGAATGAGTGAGGAAATGCATAAACCACTGAGCACAGCGTCTGGCACATGGTCAGGACTCGAGAGAGATGAGCTTTGTGTTTACACTTCACTCACTGTTTAGAGTTTTAGGTAGGGCCAGGGATTTAGCTCAGTTGTTTTGCTGACTGCTGTGCAAGCGCAAGGACCTGAGTTCAATCCCCGGTACCAAAAAAAAAAAAAAAAAAAAAAAATAGAGTTTTAAGTAAGACAAGTGAGTATGGTGAAAAATTAAAGGCAGGACGGTAATTTTTAGAACCAACTTTATTTACAAAATTGCAACTCAGTCTGCTTTGGTATCATTATTGACAAAATGCCTATAACTGAGATATTAGCTAAGAAGATACATCGATTTCAGCTTTACATAAAACCAGGATCCAACACTACCCCACTTTCTTATCCCTGTTTGGCTCTGAACGCAGGTTTAACAGACAACAGACAAATAAACAAACAATGAAAAAGAAAAACCTGACAATGTACAATGACTTAAGAAACCACTTCTTTCATTTGTTTTCTACTTTAGGGTTTGGAATGAGATTACTTATCAAAAAATTTGCTATTTAGAGAGAAAGCCCTAGCGAATGGGATAAAGGTGCAGGGTTAGTTTCTCTGACATTCATAATACAATATCCATAATGGCTTTAGAAGAATGCAAATAAATAAACTTGGTAAACAGTATATATTGATAATTTCATGACAAACTTGTTTAGCTAACATCATGCTCAGGAATTAAGAACACTTCTCTATGTATTTTAAAGTTTTAATTTATTCTATAAGTTGGGTTATAGTCTTGCTCCATATTAAGGCAGGGATCACGATTTTTTTTTTTTTTTTTTGAGACAGGGTCTCACTATGTAGTTCAGGCTGGCCTTGAACTCCAGGCAATCCTCCTGCCTCAGCCTCCCAAGTGCTACGATTACAGTCATGTGCCACCATGTCCAGCCATTCTGCTCTTTCTTAACACCCTCTCAACATTCAGTTGAGTCTTATGTACCTATGGTTAATACGCATGAGTCAGTAAAAATATCCTTTATTCAAGAATCTTTTCTTCTGAAGTTAAAATACTCCTATATTGGGTGTAGAAGAAAAAAACAACTACATTGGCTTAAAGTAAGTTGAGGTAACTAATTTGAGACAGCAAATAAATAAATCAACAAATGCCTCATTTTTGTTTTTAAACAAAATAAAACAACAATAACAATGAAAAGAAGTCACTGGGCAAATCCTCACTAACAATTTTAAAGTTGATCTATTAACATATTATTAAATAGGAAAAAGTTATTATAAAAATGTTATATAATTCCATTCATCGAATACACTCCTCTGCTGAGATATCTAATACATCTTCATCTGTACTCTCTTCTATCTCTGGCAAGTTGCCCCAAAGTAGGAAGTTTATACCTGGAAATAAAAGGCCATAAAATCTTTAGCACTCAAAACTATTACAATTCAGAACACGATACATGAAATTTAATAATATGCTATTGTTCTATGAATCAGTATCAGCAGTAAAGAGAACAGCTGTTACAAGATGGACTACAAATAAAATTATCATCTAGACACATTCTTTTTGCTTTTTGCAGTGTTGGGGATCAAACTCAGGGCCTTAGGCAGCTGCTCTGCCACTGAACTACACCCCACCTCACAAACATTCTTTAAGCCCTTTTGAGCAAGAGCTTGAATTTTAGATCCTTAAAACTCAAAAGGATCTCAGGAATCTGTCTCCTCACATCCTGCCTCCAGCAACATTATGCCATCGTCACTCTATACTGATTATTTTCAAATCTATTTTAGTGATCTTTAAGAACGGCAGTCCCACAAAAACTAGGCGTGTGGTGGCCAATGCCTCTCAATCCCAACACTCCAGGAGGCTGAGGCAGGACGGCAAGTTGGAGCCCAGCCTGCACGGCTTAGTGTCAGTAAGATTCTGTCTCAAAAAACAAACAAAAAAAGAATTTTACAAGATCCTTTTAGATTAAGAGTCTCTTTGGAGGTTCAAGGAAAATCCCTGAATAAATCGCATCTCTTCCATAAGCATAGCAGTAACTGGTGCCATTTTTCTGATTTAGAAAAAAAAAAAAAAGCAAGATTTTGGAGCCAGCTATAATCTGAATGGCAATCTTTGAAGTAGGTGGGCTTCAGTTTGCAAGCTGTCAGGACAGAGCTGTAAACTTCAGGACCAGGTTGCAGCAGACAGCACTGGTAACAGAATGACCTAAAACCTCATTCAGAAAGATGAGTCAGACTGCACACAGAAGACCCAGCAGAGCACAGTATAAGACCAAACAAGCTGATGATAATGAGATGGTTTATTCTGGCCACGTGCTATATTACAGCTTGGGAGTAGTAAATTGGAAAAAAAAAAAAAGACCTCTAGGAAAGCCAAGGAAGTTCAACAAGAAAAGCAAATATCCGGCTGTTGAGCTGTCCAGGTGGGCATAAGACTTGGCCACTCTGGACCTTCTGCAGCCACACGGCAGAATGCAGTGAGCTGAGGCTTGGGCTGGGTTTGAATTCAGTTCCCACTGCTGCCATTGCTCTATGGCTGGTTTCACTACTTCCCTTACAAATGTATGCAACCAAAGGCAATATAGCTAAAAATTTTATAGAACAGTATTATACAATATTTGCTTTTCTAGTTTGTTTTATCACTCAATATGTTTCTGAGGTTTACTTATTTGATGTATTGAGACTTAGTTCATTTATTTTTAATTTTGTCGAGTAATCCACTGTGTGAATTAAAAAAAAAATAATATATATATATATTGCAAATCTAGTCTATCACTTATTTGTTCCTCTAGCTGCCCTACACAGGTGCCCAAGGAGACACATACTGAGGTATGTGCTACATTGTGGAAACAATCAACAATCAACTATTTTGAGAGAGATATTAGCATCTAAACAGGCAAAAAAAAATAGCATTTATTTGGTGAGAATATAGGTGTATACTGTATTATATTATTTTCTGTAATTTTTTTGTGTGAATTGCTTATTATGAGAAACACCCCGCCCTCACCCACAGATTGAACAGTATTCTGCTTCTAGTAACAGGCACTGAAAAGCTGACAGGATTGCAGGGAACCATCAGGCTCAAGTCTAAGTAAAAATTAGAACCCAAAAAGGTAAATGGAGAGCTGAAGCCAAGTTGCCTTTGAGAGTATCTGCCCCAAATCTATGGAATTTGAGCTAAGAATTCACAATCCTTTTTGGGAAAGTTCTGGGAAACCCAGATCTCTATGTGAAGGCTATCCTACAACACAGACCTGCAGGGCTCCTCTTTTCTAAGCATTCTAGAATTTGGTAAAACATGTGCCTGGATTCCTTCAATGTTACTGGTTCAGGTGACTCAAGGACAAGCCCAATGCCATCAGGAACACTCAGATCCTAGGCACCTAGAGAATCTTACTTTACATCATATCAGAGTTATAAAGGAGAAGTTTGATTCTTAGACTCAATATTCATAGCCATGAAGCAGCTCAGCACATTGGTTCAAAGGAGAAAAAATAAACTAGGAGATTGAATCTGACTGAAGCGCCACCTTCCTTTCTCTGTTAAGAAGGGAGGAAGGAAATCCTGTGATACATCTGTTTCTCATGGATTAGATTCAGTGCTAACAGAAGAATGCGGGGCTTTTATCTTTGAAAAATTTACCAATATTAAAAAGTAAATCAAAATTGAAAAATCTCCACCCAATGTTGTGAGTCCTCTGAAGCAGAAAAATGATATCAAAGCAGAAACTTCCTTTAATGTGTTCCATGAGCAACACAATTATAACACTAAAGGTCTAAATTAGGAGCCTGTATCCTACTTAGTGGAGTTCAGAAAAGTCCTTGCTTCAAAACAGCCTTCTTAGCACATAGAGTCTTAAATTAAGACCTCTGAAAAGACAGTATTAAGAGCCCTAGTTGAATCCCAGGTGATTAAAAAAAAAAAAATCAGCCTATAAAAAAACGAAGCATAACGGGAAGGTTTAAAGACCCTGACAACCTAGCTTGCAATTTATGAGCTTTTGATTGTGAAGGCAAATCAAGTTTAAAAGAAATAGAAATTTTTTAAAAGGAAAGAATAGATTTTAAGTTCTTAAGAAGACTAAAACATACATTTAAAAACCTGAAGCTGGTTGTGGTGGCACATGCCTGTAATCCCAGCACTCAGGAAGCTGATGCAGGAGGATTGCTACAAGTTCAAGGCCAGCCTGTTTAAGGCCAGTGAGTATAAGGCCAGCCTGAACTACCTTGTGAGACCCTGTCTCAAAAAAAAAAGGACTGCAAGTTCAAGCCCAGCCTGGGAAGAAAAGAAAGAAAGAAAGAAAGAAAGAGAGAGAGAAAGGCTTGAGATGTAACTCAATGTGAAGCCCTGGGTTCAATCCCCAATACTGAAAAAAAAAAAAGGAAAGAAAGAAAAGAAAAACATCTGAGAGGGTTAGTGCCAAATCAGATTGTGAAATCTCTTTTTTGCGGGGGGGCAGTGTCTTGCTAAGTTGCTACATTGCTCAGGCTGCTCTCACACTTGTGTTCCTCCTGCCTCAGCCTCCTAGAGTTCTGGGATTACACACATGCACCACTATGCCCTGCCTGCCAGGTTCCCCAATGTCAGCTTAGTCTGCTGTCTAAGTTGCTATTAGACATCAAGAACATGTGTCCCCTGATAAAACTGAATGACTCCAGACAATATGAAAAGCATTGTACACATACTCTTCAGAACTGGTAGTTTATTTGCTTACAAAAATAAGTGGCATGACATATCAGTAATAAATATTTCTCTTGACTAAAATTCTGTAACTTATTAATATAGATGTCAAAATGTCTATCTTTACCCTAAAGAATTACCAAATACAGTGGGTTACCTAGTCTTCCTGTTCCCACCCCCACTGGCCTAGCCTCTCTCTCTTTTGTTTTCCTAGCCTCTCTTTTATGCTTTTGTTACACACACACAAAATCATGTCTAAAATTTTCCTGTAATCCCAGGACTTTGGAGGCTGAGGTGGGAAGATCTGAAGTTTGAGGTCAGCTTGGGTTACAGAGTTCAAGAACACCACGGACTACATATTGAAACAAAAAACAAAACAAAATCTTAAAAAATTCTCTGGAGTTACATATCAAAGTGGTAGTTTGGAGCAAGTACAATATTAATTTTTTTTTTGAGATAGGGTCTCACTATGTAGCTCAGGCTGATTGTGAACTCACTATGTAGCCCAGGCTGGCCTTGAACTCCTGGTGATCCTCCTGTCTCAGCCTCCTGAGTGTTGAGATTACAGGCATGCGCACCATGCCTGGCCTAAAATATTAATTTTTTTTTTTTGGTACCAGGGATCGAACTTGGGTCCTTGCGTTTGTGCAGCTGGCAGCCTAAAATATTAATTTAAAAAGTCCAAAAAATCCAGCCAAGTTTGAAGCCCTTAAATACAATGATCAACACAGAGATGCCAATTAATTTTGGCTACTAGTTTTTATAGGTGACTGGGAGAAAAGGATTGCTGTTTCCTTCTAGCTGATCTAACTCAGCTCTGAAGGTCTCAGAGGAAGCCTGAGCCGACGCACTGGGCCCCACACGGGTACTGCCCTGGACGGCTTGGAATCTTACCAGTCGAGTCCAGTCTGTTAATACCATAAACCGAGCGGCTGTGAAACATCCAGAAGTGTCCATTGTTGCAGGAAAGAAGGCAGGAACTACAGGGAACAATCACGTGATAACCTACAATGTTTCCGCTGAAAAAGAAAGTAAATGCTATTAGGCACCATGGAACACCTGGCCCGAGGAAGGATTTTGATGTGCTAATGGAAACAGGCCAGAGAATTTAGACCCCATGTCTTCCAAACAACCCCGTTGCTAGGGTCTTTGGGATGCGGAATTACTCTGATAGCGGTTGCAGTTCTACCTGCATGTGGGAATAGGAAAGAGTCTAAGTTAAATGTCATGATACTAACATGTTGTCATATTTCTTTGCTACTTCTATTTTATGTATTCTCTCCTCTGAAGAAGATTCTGGATGGGATTTGTTCTGCAAAGAACAAATATAAGGTTGTGCTTTGTCCTGTGAAGTACCCCAAATTGATGTGCTATTCAGACAAAATACATAAAATAAATTCAGATCTGTGGGTAAAGGCTTTTGCTACCCCAAGACTGCTGCAAGTCGGCCTCTTACATGTTCTTGTTCCATGCCAACACCTAAAAACTGTTTCAACAGATGGAGGAGTAGGAAGACAGCATGAGTCCCTGTAAACTAAACACAAGCTGGCTGCTCTAATTTTAGTTGCAGTGTTTTTGAAGGAATTCAGAGCTAAAGCAAATCCTCAGGCTCTAGAGAAAGATGAAAAAGTTTTTACTGTCTTCATCTTACCCTGCTGATTATAGGCACCTCATTCTTCCACAACTTTTTCTAGCTAGCCACATAGTAAGTAGGGCGAACGTACAGGGAATGTTTTAGTACTTTCTTCCTAAAAAATGGCATCATGAACTATGTATACTTTGAGTTGTAAAAAATTCTTACAGTTGGCCAGGAATTTAGCTCAGTGGCACCATGCTTGCCTTGCAAGGTCCTGAGTTTGATCCCTGGTACCCGCCCCCCAAAAATTCTTACAGTTGAGCTTGGTCTCCCCATGAGATGTGGGAGGCTGTCACTTTTGGGAGACCCTATAAAGAACACTATAAAAAGTATAAGCCCCCCCAAAATATGTCTTCCAATCATAACCTGCTTAAAAGGCCAACCAAAGAAAACAGAAATCATTTTTGGAGGACAGGCAGCTGTTTGTGAGACTATATTGCAAGAGTAAACTGTATAGCTTTATTTTTTTTAATTAAAAAAAATTTTTTTTGTCTAGCTTTAATTACCACCTATTGTCATTCATGTATCCATTCAGTCACTCAACTGAGTTTACTGAGTATCTACTTCATGCCAAGCACTGCTCTAGGTGCTAGGACCAGCTGTAGACAAAACTAAGTCTTCGTTCTCAGATCATTATGCTCTCTTATTAAAACCCCCTCAATGGTTTCCCATGAGCCAAAAGTGAAAATAAAGAACCTCTCCACACCAAGGTCTAGAACACTGATGGCGAACCTTTTAGTGATTCATGCCCAAAGTGCAACCCAAAACCCACCTATTTATCGCAAAGTGCCAACACTGCAATTAAACCTGAATTTTAGAAAACACAACTCACACATCAACATCTTTTGTCTCAAAAGAAAAACAAATAGCCATAGATTCGCCACCACTGGTAGAAGATCTTCTGTGTCTAAAATAGCCACATGTGGCTGCTGAGTGCTTGAAATGTGACCAGACTGAATGGGGATGTCCTGGAAGTGTGAAATGCAAGCCAGATTTTAGAAAGCAGGGGGGGAAAAGAAAAGAATATAAAAACTAGGAGGTTGGGGCCAGGGATTTAGCTCAGTGGTTTCGTTGCCTGCTGTGTAAGCGCAAGGACCTGAGT